TTTCTTTGGAAACTACACGCAAGGACTTAGCTTGGACATTTGGGCAGCCAAGGACCATTGCAGCGTAGTTGAATAGTTTTCTTACCAGCCTTAAGCGAGACTTAGTAGATTGGAATCAAACTCGTCCATACCTGCCAACTAGCGTAACATAGAGCAAACAATGGCTCTACACCGCCCACTTCCCGTCCCAAAACTACCTTGGCAATGTTTATGGACTTTGTTTTATGCATCCTAAAACCGCTAGGCAAGCACAATTCTATCTGTTGTAGTAGCTAGATCGCTTCTCTAAGATGGCCACTTCTCCCATTGCTAAAAACGTTCATGCCTCTAGATTCGATATCTTGTGAGATTTATCTCGGCATGGAGAGAGGGGAGGAGGGAGATTAGGGATTGGTTATTTACCTTCCCATCATGTTGATGCCACATAGGATAAAATTAATAATTCCACATGTCATGAAATTCAGATTGGATCAAATTCAAAAACTTTCCTTTTTTGACTTTTGCAAATATAGAAAGTTTGAACCTCAAATATGAATATCAAATTTTGAATTCAAAAATTGCTAGCTTCTCCCTTTATTGCAAAACCCAAGTTAAGGAGTCATTATGACAATTTGAATGTCATAATGACTTGGATCATAAGTGTGGCCGGCGGTCCAAAGGAGGGAGGAGATGCCGCCAATCGGGTGGTGGAAGGCCGTGGGAAGGAGGCCGGCGATCGGGTGGGTGATGGTTGTCGGCTTGGGGAGGTGGAGCTAGGGGAAGACTTGGGTGGATGAAGAGGGGAGAAAGGAGATGAACAAGAATATACGAGAAAGATAGAGATAACTAACGAACTCACTAAGAGATCGTAAGAACCGCGAACCTCAGACTCTTCCAAAGATTGATGGGTATTGCAAATTACCCTCATCGGGCTTCTCCTCTCATGAACTCACTAAGAGATCACATGAACTCACTAAGAGATCAACAAGAACATAAAGAAATTTCATAATCAATAATTCATTAACCTCTTACAAAAGAAATGACTCATATATATAAGTATCAACATACAAGAATAAATAAAGACCAAATTGTCATCAGGGCCCCAACATAACTCAACTCAACATAAGGGTACAATGGGAAGACATAAAAAAAATAAAATGCATAAACAACTAGAAATATAAACTCTGAATCATGGCCATCAATCTGTGATGCTTCCGACGATACACATGTTTGAACCTTTGATCGATGTCCCCATCACAAAACCCCCCAAGGCGGAAGCTAAGCCTACCCCTGCCAAACACAGCAAAGAGCTACACCTCCTGACTGCAAAGGAGGTGGAAGATGAGATCTACCAAGGAACCACCATGTACGCTCTAGTGGCTAGAGAAACCCATGAAGAAATAGGTGAACCAATTCCTGAAGAGGTCCGCCCACTCCTTAAAACCTTTTCTGATGTTTTCCCAGATGATTTACCTAACCAACTGCCACTTCTACGAGACATACAACACCCGATAGACTTGGTACCGGGAGCATCACTACCCAACCTTCCGCACTACCGTATGAACCCAATTGAGCATTATGAACTAAAGAAACAAGTTGATGAACTCCTGCAACGAGGATTCATAAAGGAGAGCCCTAGTCTGTGTGCTGTTCCTGCACTTCTGACTCCCAAGAAGGACGGTTCATGGCGGATGTGTGTTGATAGCTGTGCTATCAACAAGATTACCGTCAAGTATAGGTTCCCCATTCCTCGGCTAGATGACATGTTGGACATGATGACTGGAGCAAATCTCTTTTCCAAGATAGATCTTAAGAGTGGGTACCATCAGATTAGAATCCGTCCAGGAGATGAATGGAAAACAATGTTCAAAATAAAGGATGGACTTTATGAATGGACTGTTATGCCGTTTAATCTGAGCAACGCCCCGAGCACCTTTATGAGAGTCATGACCCAAGTCCTCAGACCCTTCCTAGGAAATTTTGTAGTAGTTTACTTTGATGACATTTTAATCTACAGTACTTCGGTGGATCAACATCTCAATCATATAACACAAGTTTGTGAAGTCTTGAGGAAAGAACAGTTGTTCGCTAACCCTGTAAAGTGTAAATTCCTCATCGATAGTGTGACCTTTCTTGGATTCATTATATCAACTCAAGGAATATCTGCTGACCCAGAAAAGGTGGGAGCTATAAATGAGTGGCCATAACCTAAGAACATTCGAGATGTTAGAAGTTTTCATGGATTGGTTACTTTTTATCGGATGTTTATTCGAAATTTCAGACACCATAGTAGCTCCAATAATGGATTGTCTAAAGAAAGGGGAATTTCATTGGACGACAACTGCCACCAAATCTTTTGAGGATATTAAGAAGAAAATGGTAGAAGCTCCTGTTATGCGTCTCCCTAATTTTTCTAAAGTTTTTGAGGTAACCTATGATGCATCAGGAATTGGAATAGAAGGAGTCTTGTCACAAGAAGGACATCCTATGACATACTTTAGCAAGAAATTAAATGACATTCGTCAAAGGTACTCTACATACGATAAGGAATTTTATGCAATCATTTAGTCCCTTAGATATTGGAGACACTACTTGCTCCCCCTGGAATTTGTGATATTTTTGGATCATGAAGCTTTGTGATACATTAACTCCCATAAGAAGTTAAATGCCCGTCATGGTCGTTGGGTCGAATTCCTCCAAGAATATTCTTACACTATTAGGCATAAGGCCGGAGCTGAGAATAAAGCAGCTGATGCTTTGAGTCGTAGAGTAATGGTCACTAGAGAGATGAGAACGTAGATTGTTGGATTTGAATGCATCAAGGATGACTATAAAGAATGTCCTGACTTTAAAGAAACATATTCTTCACTAACAACTGGAGAAAAACAAGTTGTGGATGATTTCTTGTTGGAAAATGGATATTTATTTAAGTCTTAGAAGTTATGTATTCCCAACACCTCTCTCCGTGAATTTCTTGTGTGGGAACTACACGCGGGAGACTTAGCTGGACATTTTGGGCAGGCCAAGACCATTGCAGCAGTTGAGTATAGATTTTTCTTGCCCAGCCTTAAGCGAGACGTTAGTAGACTGATCAAACGTTGCCATACCTGCCAACTAGCTAAACATAGGAAGCAGAACAATGGCCTCTACACCCCACTTCCTGTCCCAAACTACCCTCGGCAAGATGTTAGTATGGACTTTGTTTTATGGCTACCTAAAACTGCTAGGAAGCACAATTCTATCTGTGTAGTAGTAGATCGCTTCTCTAAGATGGCCCACTTCCTCCCATGTGCTAAAACGTTCGATGCCTCTAGGATTGCCAAGTTATACTTTGATGAGATTGTCCGACTCCATGGACTCCAAAAAATAATTGTGTCGGATCGAGACGTGAAATTTACGAGCTATTTTTTGGAAAACTTTATGGATTAAGATGGGTACTAAGCTGCAGTTCTCCACCGCCTTTCACCCACAAACGGATGGTCAAACGAAAGTTGTTAATAGGAGCCTTGGGAACCTTCTTAGGACCTTAGTAGGTGAACACATTAAAGATTGGGATTCCAAACTACCCATTGCTGAATTTGCCTACAATAATTTTGTCAATCGGACCACCAGTATGAGCCCAGATGAGATTGTTTACGGATACCAACCTATGCAACATATAGATTTACTCCCAAATCATCAAGAAATCTTCCAACTGCAGATTCATTTTCTGTCTGCATGGAAAGGAAGGAGATGTTTAGCTGAGAAATTTAGGAGTGGCTTGTTACCTACAGTTGTGTATATGCACCCAACATTGGCGAACAAGTTGCCTTATTTTAGTGTTTAAAATGAGGGCATTTACTTTCAAAGAAAATTTGATTCTAGCAAAGCAAGAGATGATATTGTTCTTGATTTCACCATTGTATTTACCCCTTCATCCCATATTAAACCATCTTCTGATGTACTTTTTATTTTCCCTCCAGCTCTATCTTGAACATCAAACAGAGTGACCTGTTCAGCCCATTTGTTTTAAGCTTATATGCAGCAGCAAGCCCACTGAAATTTTTTTTATGGTCACAGTTAAGAAGTTTCACGAAAATTTATCAGCAATATAAAATAAAAATAAAGACATATGCGTTGGAAACAAAATACAGTAGAAAATCAGCCAAATATATGAAGCAAACAAGAGACACTTGCTTTCACTTCTTGCGCTGCCACCTCGCCTCAAGGAAAATAAGTTCTTGGCCAGATTTCTTCAATGCAACTTGGATGAGTGGCTGACATACCATGCAGTAAGAGCACAATAAAGCAACTTCCAGGAATGATATTTTGACCACCAGTTGTTATGATCATAACAAAAAAATCATCTAGACATTTACTTTAAAAAGATATCCTTTGTGATAATCATCAAAACTAAATATATCCTTTTAAGCTTATATGCAACAGCAAGCCCACTGAAATTTTTTTTTTTTTATGGTCACAGTTAAGAAGTTTCACAAAAATTTATCAGCAATATAAAATAAAAATAAAAACATATGCGTTGGAAACAAAATACAGTAGGAAATCAACCACATATATGAAGCAAACAAGAGACACTTGCTTTCAGTCCTTGCGCTGCCACCTCGCCTCAAGGAAAATAAGTTCTTGGCCAGATTTCTTCAATGCAACTTGGATGAGTGGCCGACATACTATGCAGTAAGAGCACAATAAAGCAACTTCCAGGAATGATATTTTAATCACCACTTGTTATGATCATAACAAAAAATCATCCAGACATTTACTTTAAAAAGATATCATTTGTGATAATCATCAAAACTAATAAATGTAGAAATTGATTAACAGGGTTGCATTTCTTTTTTTTCTCATTCTTTTTTATTCAGTTTGCGAAACAACAATAACATGGAGGAATCATCTCAACATAGCATACTAGAAAAATAAAATAAAATAAAATCTCCAAACAAACCATTCATAGATGAATTGCAATGTGCAAAAACTAATATAAAATCCCTAACATTGGCTGATTTTTAGGCTTGTGAAAAAGCCTATGACCAATCTTGTGTTATCTGGAAGTCATATTCAATTTCCAAATAACATTTATTATCATCATCCACAAACTGAAACATCAAAAAAGAGATCCTTACAAGATTTTAATAGAAGAAACAAAAGAGCCTCAAACATGAATGTTGTTTACCTTTATTTCAACAAAATACTCCCCCAATGAAAATAAGCCAGAAGGGGTGGTATCCTCTTCTAGCTTATAGGTGTATGGCTCGTTCTGAGGGCTGAAAGTTCCCAGCATAACCGTTGTGCTCTCAACTGCACAAAATCAAGCAAGTCACATATTAAGTGACCAACTGAACCAAAATGATATGAAAGAACAGTTAAAAGAATTAAAGGAATTATTGTTCGCTCGTCTTTCTCTACCTAGGATGAATCCAGGAATCTTCCTCACAGTGTTCATGTAACGGAGTCCTGATACAATATTATTCGACACAGTGAATGAGAGTTTAAGTTGGTATTGAATTCCCTTCTTAAGAGTAAATTCATAGCTCCTCACATTTGGGTCGAAAGGGATAGGTATAACCAGGCCTGGTCTATCAGAAGTGATGATTGTGAGGCTCTGGATCGTCACTTTTGGATCAGGATTCTCTGCATTAGTTAAGAAAGACACACAATCAATCAAGTTGTTTTTATTGAAGTAAAACAAAAAAATGAGCAAAATCATATATATATTTGAAGACCATGGAAACAAATAATCTGAAGTAAATATGCTGAGGTGAGAGAAAGTCTGAAATTTCAAAAATCTATTTTTCAAATTATTTTCGCTGCTTCATCGTCGGAGTCGATGATGGTGAACGGTCGCCGGCCACCTACGGCCGGTGCTCCGTTAGAGGAGAAACGTCCTTCGGGACGTCCAACGAATGGAGGAACTCGTAGTGCTACGTCTTCTCCCCCGGCATTCGGAGATGAGAGAGTCAATCTCTTTCCTGGTGCAAAGGCTCTTGGTAAGATGAACAAACCTTTAATAATCAATGAAGGTGGACAGCAAATGAAGAATCAATTGCCGGAAATCATTGGAAAGGGCAAAGGAATCCTGTTGGAGGACAATCTGGATGAAGGTCTGAAGATGGGTTTACCCAAACTGGTTAAGGGAGATAAAATTTCTTCTCCTCCTTCGTGCTTTAAAATTACGGCAATTAATGAAGCAGAGTCAATGTATTTGGTATCTAATTATGGAGAGAAAGGTGATTCTTCAACTAGAATAGAGAATGTATCTTAGGTGGCTGAAAATTCTAGCATGGATTTGTTAGCTGCAGCTGAAGACAATGTGTTAAATGATCTGGAAAAGGTGAGGATATGCGAAAGTGGTGAATTGAGAAAATGTGATAAGATGAATGATGAAATGCCGAAGAGGAATAACCCAGGTAATCTGTTTAATGCCTGGCTCAAAAAAGATAATATCAGGGTTACTGATATGGACTTCGATAAATCCACAATTGGAGATGGAAAAACAGTCAAGCTTGATTCTGGAAAAGTTTTGGAGAATTCAAAGAAGCTTGAAAAGGCTTTGGTGGTGAAAATCTTTGAAGGTGATATCCCACTTTCGTCAATAAGCTTTGAGGAGAATGGGGACATTATGGAAAATTTCATCTGACAGTGCTTGGGAAGGGATGGATCTTATGCTCATTCTCTAAATCAGAACAAATGGAGGCTATTCTAACCCATGGTCCCTAGTTTGTTAACGGGAACATTGTGGGAATTGAAAGATGGACCCAAAAATTTGATCCAAATTCATTGAAGGGTCTTTCTTCCCCTATATGGATCAGATTACCAAATCTCTCGTTGTATTGTTGGGATGAAGTCAATATCTGTCGTATAGCTTCCATGGTGGGTGAGCCTTACTTGATTGACGGCAATATGTTCCAGTGGTCCCGGAGGGAATTTGGTAGAGTCTGTGTCCGGATAGATCTGGATGCTAAGCTTCTGACTGGAGTTTGGGTTGAAGGAGGAGAAAACAAATTCTTCCAGAGAATTGAATACGAGAAGTTGCCTTATCTATGTTTTGAATGCGGAAAGATTGGTCATACAAAGGAGGAATGTGCTTCAATCAAGATAAAGAGCAGGATTAATGTTGTTAATCCTGTTATATCAAATGACAGTAATGAGCAGAGAATGGAAAAGACGGTAAATAATCAAAATCTGGATGTCCCTGGATTGGTTGAGAAGGAGGATTATGGACCATGGATGCTGGTTAAATATGGGGAAAAAATATCATACAATAACTTGAACATAAAATCAAGTTCACTGGTGACAAGCAAAAGCAGTTGGAAGCCAGTGAAACAGAATGCTTTCAAATTAGCTGAAGAAAAGAAAGACAATGATAAGCTAATAGTGGCGGAACAAATGACTGATAGTAGGTCTTCGGGTAACCGTGAAGAAAATACCTCCAGTGATCAGGAAATTATGATGGCCGAGAAAGATGATAATTGCTTTAATGCATTACTAGAGCTGGAGGAAGGTGAACTAGTTCCCTCTTCAAAAACAGGCACAATTGTAGAAGAGTTTCCAATTAATGAAGACAACATTGAAACAAATACTCATGAAAATGTTACAGATAAAGAAGAACTGAAATTGATTACAGTAAGAAGAAGATTTCTGGAAATGAAGGGAGAACAGCTTCTACTCGATCTCCTAAGAAGAAAATTCCTAAACAATTGAGAGATTTGGGTCCAATCAACTCTTCTACTAGAAGCAGGAAACTGGAGCTTGAAGAGAAAGGCAATATGGGGGTTAATCCCCAAAATCTCTTTTAATATATTCCATAGCATTTTGGAATTGTAGAGGAGCAAGGAAGAGGAGTGCTTCTCTCTACATTAAGGAATTTGTTAAAGAAAATGGAGTTGTTTTTTTTTTTGGGATTGGTTGAAACCAAAATATTTGAAGTTGATCGAAATGAAATCAACAATATGGTTGTCAAAGAGTGGGACTTTTTCTTGGTCCCTTCTTCTGGTTTATATAGTGAAATTTTATTACTTTGGAATTCAAGTCAAATTGAATTCAAGGTATGTGATTTTTCTGTTCAAATAGTGATTAGAGACCTTAAAATTTCAAACAAAGATGTGTGGAGAGTGGCTACAGTTTATGGTAGTAGGGAAGTGCATAAGAGGATAGAACTTGGGGAATTGATTGATAGGAATTCCACGAAAGAATCTCCTATGGCAGTGGGAGGAGACTTTAACTGTTTATTGGGCAAAGAAGACAAATCCGGAGGCAGAAGGTTCTCATTCTCTCAAGGTCCAAAGGAGATGAAGGTGTGCTTACTTAACAATGATTTACATGAAGTGAGATTCATTAGACCTAAGTTCACTTGGTGCAACAATAAATGTGGTGGTTCAAGGATCCTTGAAAGATTGGACATGTATTTCATTAACACCTCTGCTTTAGGCTCCCCTTTCCGTTTGGTAGTGAGGCATTTGGCAAGAATTGCCTCGGGCCATTGTCCGATAACTTTACAATTTCAGAACTTCAAAGCTACTTCAAATAGGAAGATTAAGTTTGAAAACATGTGGACATCCTATCAACCTTCTTTTGCTGTTGTAAGGAATTGAAGGAATGAAATAAAAATTATCAAGGCAATTGCTCGCAAGTGCTCAACAAGAAGTTTAAAAATTCATTGAAATCTTTGTATTTTGGGAGCAAATCTAAGCTTAAGGATTTAAATAAGCTCAAAGATAAACTTATGGGAGAAATTATGGAACTCCAACACAAAGAATATTCTCTTGGAGCTCTCACTGAATCTGAGTACTGGAGTCTTAAAAATAAGGTGAATGAGTATAATTCAACCATGGCAAGATTAAATTCGTGATGGAAACAAAGAGCCAAGATCAAGTGGCTCAAGGAAGGTGATGTAAATTCAAAAATTTTTCATTCATATGCTAGTGCTAGAAGGAATGCTAACAAAATTATCAAGATAAAGGATGAAAATGGGTTGTTAGTGGAAGAACAAGGTGAAATGGAGGAGGTGTTTTTGCGATTTTTCCAAACAAAATGGGAGGCGAGATGCTGCAAGTTGGAAGGTTGGCCGGCTGAGAGATCTTGTTTAAATTCAGATGATCAGAAGTTACTGGAGGCTGAATTGACTTTTGAAGAGGTGGAGGGAATTCTAGAACAATTGGGAGGCAATATTGCTCTGGGAAATGATGGAGTCACTAATTCTTTCATCAAACCTTATTGGGGGATCATCAAAAAAGATTTCTGGAAGGCCATTAAACACTTCTTTGTCAGTGGTGAATTGAATGAATAATGGAAGGAAACATTGATAGTGCTTATTCCAAAGGTATCTAATCTTATTCTTCCTTCTAATTATAGACCTATTAGTCTTTGTAATATGGTCTATAAGGTAGCAGCAAAAATTATTCAAAATAGATTAGCTATGGTCATTCCAAAACTAATCTCCATGGATCAAACAACATTCATTAAGGGGAGATCACTGTCAGACAATGTTTTGGTGGCTCAGGAAATTTTTCACAAACTAAGGATCTCGTCCATATCATTTTGGAATTGTAGGGGAGCCAGGAAGAAAGAGGCTTCCTTGTCTCTGAAGGAAATTGCTAGAGACCAGGATGTGTTCTTTATTGGGCTTATGGAGACCAAGTTGTCTAGTATTGATAGAAGGGAGGTTGATTGTCTTATGGGGAATGATTGGGATTATTTTCACTACCCTGTTGTTGGTACTTATGGAGGCATTTTGGTGTTATGGAACAGGAAGTTGGTGTCCTTTGAGGTTATGGAGGCTTCTTCACAAGCTATCATTGGTAATCTTTCAGTTCCAAACTTGGGAACTTGGAAAGTTATCACTGTGTATGGTAGCAGATGTTGTAAGGAGAGGGGTTGTCTTTGGAGTCAATTAGAGAAATGCATGGAGAATTCTATTCCTTATATTATTTGGGGGGGGGGGGATTTTAATTGTATCATAAATAAAGAGGATAAGAGAGGAGGTAAGAGGTTCTTGTTTTCTAAAGGACCTAGGGAGATGAAAGGCTTTATGTTGAATTCTGATTTTCATGATGTTGGTAGTGTTGGACCAAGGTTTACTTGGTGTAACAACAAAGAGGGTGCTTCTCGGATTTGGGAAAGATTGGACAGGTGTATGTTGAATTCAGCTGCTATTCAAAAGCTTCCTTTAGCTTTTACCAGACATCTTGCTAGGATGGCATCTGACCATTGTCCTATTATTATTAAGATGGATGAAAGGGTGCAGTTCAAGTTAAAGGCCATTAAATTTGAGGATACTTGGAGATCCTACCCAGCTGCTAAGAGTATTATATATCACTCTTGGAAGAAGAATGACTTTGGTGATGAATATATGATCTTACAAAGGAAGCTTAGCCAGACCTTAAAAACACTATTTTTTTGGAATAAAAATAAGTGCAAAGATTTGAATGTGTTGAAGGATAAATTGAAAAAGGAAATCCTTGAACTTCAGAACAAGGAAGCTTTGGGTGTTAATTGTTCTGTTGAAGACCTTTTTGTGCTTAGAAACAAAGTACATAATCTTAAGGTTACTTTGAGAAGATTATCTACATGGTGGAATCAAAGGGCAAAGGCTAGGTGGCATGAGGAAGGTGATACAAACTCCAAGCTTTTTCATAATGTTGCCACGGCTAGAAGAAATGAGAATCAGATTATTCAAATTAAAGATGAATTCAACAATTTGCATGATGA